GGTTGAGAAACACTGGTCTAGAATAACAGAATCTTGCAAGTCTGATTATTCAGCACCTCCTCCTCCTCATTATTATCCAATGAATTAGGGAGGCATCTGCCTGATCCACTTCCAGATGTTATCCTGCTGTTCTGGACTTTAAAAATGCTTCAACCCCTTTTTCCTGGGGAACACTCCTTGCGTATCTCCATCCAGGTCATCTTCCTTACTCTTTACAATAAACTTCAGCTCATTTCATCAGATGTATGATATTACAGTAGTAACTCTTCCCTGCCTTTGGAAAAGAATGAGATGACTGGGAGGGTTGAGAGAGGAAGGGAAGTAGAAAGTGGGGCGTCTACAGCACAGTACCAAAGACTAGTATCTGCAGTGTTGTATGGATCTTGGAGCATCCTCCAGCTGAAAAAAACTTTGACCTACCCAATAAAACATCATTTGGTGCTTTAGTGAAGACAATGACCAGCTAGGCAGCAACACCTAGACGACCTTGACAGATCCTGAAAAACTTAGCCAGATTCAGATCCATTCAATACTTGGATGAGAAGCTGCAATAGGTCCTATGGCTTTAGTTACATTAGGAAGTTTCAAGAACATTTCAGAATAAGGCAATGGAAAATAACTTCCGTATCGCTGCTACGAAAACCATATGACGTGCCTATGTGTGGTCACTGAGAATCACTCAACTTCAGGAGACTTTATTTTTAACCAAGGCAAGAAACTCCACATTCCGTTCAGCTTAACCCACTTACTCAACCGTAGTCGTCTTTTTGTTAGACCAACATTTTGTCCAAATTTAATGCACGGTGATAGTTATGGTCAACTGTTTTCAGATTGGAGTCACACATCACCTAATGCAGTGGTTTGCTTAAGTAAAGTTTATCAAATAAATTGCAACTGACTGGGTTTGCGCAGCCCTCAACGCAATAAACCAGGGTTTACAAACATCAATGACTGGGGTCACCCAAACATTCAGCCAAAGCCAAGTAAACTAGCTTGTTCACATGGCACCATTGCCCTTTCAGATGCATTTGCAAAACAAGCTAAGCTCAGTTAAGGTCAGTTTTGGTTGGGTTTTATGTGGTTTATTGTGATACATGTAACCCTCTGATTTGGTTAATTTCTAGTTCAAGGTATTGTGCAAACCCAGAAACAGTTCAGTAGCCAGCTTAAGTTTGTGAAGGCAGCCTTAGGCCACAAATGCACCCATTTGCTTATTTGTTGGATTTACACACCAGACTCTTAAGATCTAGATGCTTCCTGGTGTTTTTAAGAGAAGACCAAAGTCCTGTTCCGCTGATCCTCCTTGGTAAAATGATTGAGGATGTTTCTGGTGGTGATTTCGCCTACTTCCTTTTCCAGGTCATCAGCAGGAGGGGAGAAAAAGAGTCCTTGGAATTCATTTTTGTGGCTGAAGAAAAATCATGTTGACTAAAATGGCCCTGATGCTCCTCAACCGACACATAACATGGTCACTGCAACAGAGTTCTAGGATATTTACAGGAGGTAAGTGGGTGTGGAAATAACTGGAGCAGAAGGAAGATTTTTTTAAGGTTTTATAGCCCAGCACACTGTTTTATAAACTCTACTGTGAGAGAGAACTGGGAATAGAGAAGCTGTAAAAAAAGCTTGGGGTCCTTAAGAAGGAAGTTATTAGGGAAACCTTCCATGGATGAAACAACTGGTTGATTTTTTAAAAAAATTTCACTGAACAACCATAGTTGAGTGATGTGAGATTGGATGCTCTTACAGCGTGTCCTCAGAGCTCCTAAACGCCTAGAACCAGGATGGGAATTGTCCTCTACTGTTCTTTTGATGGTCCTAGCTTTTCAAAACCTCCTGGTCCAGCTTCCTCACACTTAGAGGCAGAAAACATACAAATAGCCAAGGGTGGGCCTTAACAGATATTTAAAAAAAACAAAAACAAAGAATCGTACCTCCTAAAGGGAAGAAAGGATGATTTTGGCTAAGACTACATGGCAGTGTCACTTACTGTGTCACCTGCTGTCAAGCCTCATCCCACAGGATCAGGAAGCAAGAACAAGAATTGCAAGGATTAGGGATATAATACAGAATCTTGAAAGCTGGGAAAGGAACATCCAGCCCTGATTTATTAGTGAGCCCAAATTTGGTTGGTTTTTAGTATTTTAATTGAAATCTTTTCTCCGCTGCCCTCTTTTGTTCCCCTCTTTTTTGCAGCCCAAACAAAGCTGCTGGTCCTGAGATGAGCTACTAACAAACTTCTCTCCCATCTGTTGGTTGATTCTATCTAGAGTTTCTCCTGTGTCTTTCTCAGCTTCCTCCCCATCTCTTACACCTCCTTTGCGTTCCTGTCCTACTCACATGACATAGCTTTGCTTTGGACAGCCCTTTCCTTGCCCTAAAGTTTAAGCACACCTCTTGGCCCCCAAAAGCTTCCCTACTGCTGTCTGAGAACATTGACCCTATGCTGTTGACCTGACTAGAACATCTCTCAGAAGCCTCTCTGCTTACCTGTTTTCCATCTGAATGCAGCAGTTCAATTCTCTAGGCCAGTGTTTCTCAACCTTGTCAACTTAAAGATGTGTAGACTTCAACTCCCAGAATTCCCCAGCCAGCCTTGCTGGCTGGGGAATTCTGGGAGTTGAA